GATCGGCCAACAACGACTCCCTAATCGTTATGGCTAGGACTGACTGCTTGACGAGCAGTTAGGATGGTTAGTTGATTGAAGAATCAATGACTGAAAGGGAGCTCGCAAATGTCTAACTTGTTGATTAACTCTCAAATCACAGACTCACTACTGGGGAGGATCCACATATTACATGATACTAAGTAATCTAATCTTTTTGTCTGTTACAACACTTACCGTAAACAGTTCACCAAAAATATTGTTTAAATATGTGGCCCCCATTAGTAATTATGGGATTGATTGCAATACTGATGGTATTATTGCATAATTTTCTTTTGTGTGACTTACATGTTATTAGGAACGCTATGGTCAATAACATTATGAATCCACTAGGAAATTGGTTTCTAAAAGAGTTAAGAAAAATGTGTTTAAAGAGAATAAAAAGCCGATGTGGTACGGACCTCAGCGGTAATTCTAGAGTTAATCATGTAGGTTTATGTCTGATACCCCAATTAAAGCGTAAATTACTAAATACTCATAATGAGACTTTAGAAATAATTTGAAACTGGAATTTTGTCATAACTTATCTCTCCATTTGAAAACAACTAATAGCAACGTTTTGCACAGTAACCTGAAACTGTTGCTTCATGTTGAGTTTACACGTTTCGACCTTTAAATTATCCAACATTTTGTCTCACACAACAAACATGGGCCCTGAATAATTTTGTTAATTTTTAACATTCTTTGTACGTGTACAATAGTATACTAAGTTCCGCTACTTTTTGTATCTCCTGTCATGTGTTATATACTGTCAGTGTGCACCGTTTTCACAACAACACTCATCAAATCGTTAAAATGCCCAGTAATGGCAAGTTAAATGGATAAGTGGTATCTTTCAGTCAAGATAATCATCTCATTTACAGCAACAGTTGTTAAATGTTATGGTATGTAACCGTATACGTCATATAGACAAGCGGTAAAACCTTACTCGCCACAAGGCTTCGTTCGTGGTTAAGTCTCTAAACATAATTTGCACGCTACTTATATGAACTAACCTACCAGATAAATATTTCAAAGTGTGAATGTCTTTGCAGACATATTAATCTATATAATTATAAATAAACACGATGATAACAACACGTTTATCACAAGGATGCTGTTATGTTATTTCAAGTAGACAAAGAAATAAACTATTACTGAGGCTACTGCAAGGTCCAGCAGTCCTTGAACATTTATATTAAGGTAACTAAAACAACGATCTATATCTCCAGAATGTAGCTTTATTAGCTCAATATCTCGCTATCAGAGCTTCGTCATGAGCTATCTATATCCCACAAGTTCACAAATACAGGTGAGTCTAAATTGGAACACCGTCATTAGTAAATCGGATATCGTTACACGTGTCTAAAAGGCTTAGATCATATTAAAATAATATCAAACATCACTGAATTTAAATTGCTGAAACAAACCAATAACGATAAATTAGTAATATGTATAAATCAACGGGTAAACTATTAAAATCATAGGATTTAGAAAAGGATGCGTTGAATATATGAAATACCTAATCATACTTATATCTGTAAGTATCATTTCATTCTGTTATATCAATACATACACAGAACAATGGCGGAAAATATATTTTAACCATTAAGAGTGTGTACGGAGACTTCGTCAAAATTAAAACATATTAAAAATCTTACGAATGTTATTAAAGTCTCTACACTAAAGGCCAACTTTCATATTTATTCACTTTTGGTTTCTTTTTCTTGATAAGAATAGGATATTTAACCTTTCGGTCCAAAAAACTATGGCACTTACATAAGATCTTGACATCCGATAAGATGTCCGCTCGTGGTATCCAATGTTCTTTTCCATAATGTTCAGCAAAGGGATTCAAAAAATTCAAAACTGCCTTACCTTAACAACAAATGAACAAGACATCTTATACCGTCTTTATTTTATCTCGTTTTTGTGCCCTGCCGAAAGTACATAAAACTGGGATACCATTCCGCCTTGTTGTTGATAACAGAGGATCGTCAAGATTCTTGGTTTCTACGTTTATTGTTAAAAATGTTCTTTTATAACAAATTCTCATGTATTTACAGGTAAAAATTGGTCCAACTTTATGAATAAGATTAAAAATACCCAAGTTTCAATATCAAACATTAATATTTATGCTAACAGAGGTGATAAAGGTGGCCCCATGGACAAACCTTTATTCTGTTTATAAATTCCATCAGCCACCATAAAATAACTATAATTTACACATAATTTTGTTCAATTTATAATATCATCTACTTCTAGACATGAAGAAACATTTTACTAGGAAGTTACCTATTTTCAAAAGAACAAAGTACTTCTTCTATTGGTACATTTGTAAACAATGAAACTATCATTTTCCTTTTTATTGACACTAAAGAAACATCAGTGAAAAAACCAGAGTTGTTGGTAAGACATGTGAATGACACGTTTCTGGTGTGGCGACATGGCAATGACACATTAATTAATTTACAGGAACATTATAATTCTATCAGCCCCACAACGCAATTCACTTTAGAAATAGAAGAAGGAGGGCTGTTTACATTTTTTGGATGTTTCGGTGAAAAGAGAGGGAATGGGTGTCTGTCTACTTCAGTTTATAGAAAGTCGTTCTCAGTTGCCATGCCGATGCACGCAAGATTGCGTCAACTATTGTCACAAAGAATTTCTTCTTTTTCATCGTTTGTCCGTAGGGCCGTTAAAGTCTCTACTTATAATGAAGATCTATGCTTGAACTAAATTATTTAAAACATATAGCTATCGATAGAAGTTTTGAATCGTGTGTTATAGATAGGAATTACAAATTTTAGAAAACATGAAACTACAGATGATAAGTAAGGTTAATAAAGAAATATTACTATATATGTTCCGTTTCACTCAATAAAAATAGACAAGATGTTAAAAAATACGACTTCTCTATTAGCCTTTACTCCTAAATTAAAACTAATGAATATCATTAATGGTATTTAATACTAAATTGAATTAAAGGATAAATGGGGAGTTTATAAAATCTGTTTGCAGTTGTGGCTTGAATTATATCGAACAAACAAAGATAAATTTGAAGTTTCGAATTAATGAACACAAAAACACTGCAGAAAAATTAGTGATTTGTTTGAAGTTAAGCACAAAGCTGCATAATGGCTATCTGTGCTCTGTCCACTACGGGTATCGAAACCCGGTTTCTAGCGTTGTAAGTCCACAGATATACCGCTGTGCCACTGGAGGACTGTGGTTCAGCCTTGGTAGAACATGTGGCAAACTCTTCGCATGGCATTGAATGGGATGAGGTTCAAATACTTACAGAAGTTAAACTGAAAATGAATTAAACATAAACAAATTTGTTGATATTATTATACATAAAATGATTTTGAATAGAGATCTAGGCGCAGGTGCCACAGAAGTGAATTTTTGGAAATATGTTCTGTAGATGGTACTATATAATATGCAAATTATACGCGTGCACTTGCTGGTATAAAAAAGATAAATAAATTTCCTGTGTTTCTTCTGGTCTCCTGAAGATGGTGGAAAATTTTCCCACCGAAACATGTAGAGTTTATAAATGTATAGAATTTTTAATTGTATATTTAACTTTTAACTTTATACAAAAATGATTGTTCATTTTTAAATGTTGAATATTCTTACTTAGTTTATGAAATCCATGCAAATGAATGGTGATAGCATATATTGATCTGAGTCAAAGATGACGATCATCCAGAAAGATAAGGTGTTTATACAAAAAAACATGTTGTGTACAGAGATATGTGCCGTTTATAGTCAGTCCATGCTTTTACACTTATTCATATTAAATCTAAATACAACAACTCCATATTCTGGTTAGCAGGTTTTTGTTTCATTCATGCCCAACTACATAATATAGCAACATCATTATTGAAAGGATTTATCCATTTAAAAGATATATCCTTCTCATATATTTAGTATTCCACTTAATAATGTATATCTCAAAAAAAAAGTTTGGGTTTTTGGTCACATAGCATTATTATTATTTTTTTCTAAACAATGTTTTAGTAGTCAAATAATTTTATTACATACATCGTACGCAAAGCACGAGTTTATACTCAAGCAATTGATTATAAAAAAAATACAATTTCTGCAGCTGACTTTTCGCAGTTAGTCATGGGAGGACATCTATAAAGTGTGCTGAGAAAATATTAGCTGAAATGACTGGTTTGAATTTTGCACAAAGTCACTCGAGCACTATCTGCTCCTAATTTTGCAATGACAGATTAGAGAGGAGGCTTTGTTTGTTTGTTTTTAATTAAGCACAAAGCTACACAATGGGCTATCTGTGCTCTGCCCACCACGGGTATTGAAACCCGGATTCTAACGTTGTAAGTCCGCAGATATATCGCTGTGCCATTGGGGAGGGGGGGCAGAGAGGAGGTCGCTAGTCAACACCACCCGATGCAAACCCTTGGGAAACTATTTTGCTTACGAATAGTGGGATTGACCATCACAATTATAACACCCCACGGAATGGAATTCGAACCCGCGACACGCAAATTGCAAGTCGAGTCTCCTAACCACAAAGCCATGAAAAAACTAACTAATGAAATACAAACTTTTAACTTTGTTTTCATAATCATAATATATTTTTGACGTATTCAAGGAAAATGAATTATATATGAAGACAAAGTCTAAACGTATAGTGTAACTCTCTAGATAACACCGTACCATTGTTTTATTAATAATACCAAATAATATAATGATTGAAAATCCATGTTGTAAGAATTTTAACAACTGTTCAAATATTTATGAATTAGAAAAAGAGTTCTTGAACATGCTAATTTATTTTAACACCTGCATTAAAAGTAGTTGTAGAAACCACAGTTTAACGGTAAATATATTATATTGCATGGCAAAAAAAAAACACAAAAAAACGTGACAACCTACGATTTAAACACTGTTTGCCTGAAACATAAAGATTACTTTTACATTATGCACCTATCTAATATAACACATACCTATTAGTGAATGCTCCAACTAGCTGATCAACAGCTTCAACGAATTGTGTCGGTCTTGATATTCCATCTTCGAAGTTGTGACCTATCAAAAGGATATTTTTATAATACCTCTGTGATTTTCTAACAGCTCCTTGTTTACGAAAATTATCTATGTTAAATAACTGGAAAGCGCTGAATAATAGCTGATTTAGTTGTCCTGACGCATCAAGTTCTGTTTTCCGTTTATTTGGTTTATAATGTGAAAGTAGTCGAGAAGTCACGATAAACAAACTTTAATTGGTCATTACAATATTGTCAAGTGGTCAGTGATACCCATAACTATAGTTGGCCGAATTTTTTCTTTCTTTCTTTTGAACTCGCAACAAAAACATCTACATTTCTAAATGACGTTCTTGTTAAATCATATGAAACCACTGAAAGATGCAAGTTAGTGTTTGAAATAATATTCCTTTATTAGGAGTAATAAGGTGTTTTTTTGCATCCATTCTAAAACAAATGCACTTGAATTGCACTGAACAACAAACAATTTGCTTCTGGAGAAAACTCAAATGATGGGAAATTTGATGGTTCTGACTTCAAAAATGTAGACAAATTTTATCCATCGCCTCTACATTTTGAGTTATCATAATATCTCAATATTTCTCAGCAGTATGTGAAGTACCATGTAATCATCTCAGTACAATATGTTTATACTGTGAAATTAAGTTTACTTGGACATGTTAATGGGTAAAAGACATATATTTTTGATAACTTCAAACATTGACTGTATTGTATTGGTGTAAAGTTCCAAATATATTGTTAATATATGCTGTTTTTTCTCGCTATAATTTCACTGAATTGTACCACTTTTGCCTCATTGACGCGCTCCACCTGCTCCGCCATGGAATTACAATTACTGAATATAAAAGGGGACGAGAGTTAGACACCTCTCTCTCTCTCTCTTAGTTGCCTCTCATTCACTCAGTTGGTCACTTCGCCTTGTTCTGCACGCAGTCAAAACAATTCAAAGTCCAATTTTCTTACCCATGTATCATACCCGTGATATAATCAAATTCTGAAAAACTTTGTTTTAAACTCTAGTTCTGTAAACATAAATTCTTCTATATTTTTCAGAAAATCATTTGAAATGCTGGCTGCCTTCAGTTCAATAAAGTTCGAAAGTGCAAAAATCACTTAAACAGTTTCTGCTACATTTGTGGAAAATATATTACAGTTTCACGAAGGAAAAACATCACACACAAGGTAAAGGTAGCTTACTACCACGAATTTGGGTGTAAAATTGGCAACCAAGAAAAACATTTGGCTCCACATGAATGTTAGTTTGCCCATCTGAGTAAGAAGAGGACAAGTATGCTATTTGCTGTTCCTATGATATGGCATGAGCCCAAAAATAATCTAACTGACTATTATTTTTGCATGACTAATATTTCTGGATATTCAGGCAAAACTAAATAATACATTGAATATCCAGATATTGCATGTGCAATGAAAACAGTACTTCATAGGGATAGCCTTCCAGTGCCATATCCACCAGTGAATTAGGAAACAGAAGAGTTATCCTGCAAAGAAGACAATGAATCATCTTCATCTAGCAATTCTATTCATGTGACACCTCAACATAAACTGCCTCATCTGATCACAGAAGAAGATCTAAATGATCCTATTCGAGACTTGTCTCTATCAAAACAGCATGGGGAATTTCTTGGCTCTTGCTTACATTAATGGAACTTATTAGCTCCAGGAACAAAAGTTTAAATTTACTGAAATTGCCATCAAAGTCTTTCTTCTCACTACAACATGCAAGATACTTTGTGTTTCTGTACAAATGTTGATGCACTAATGCAAAAAGGCTACAGACACATCAGTCAGCCACTGGGGAGGAACGTTTGATTTAGAACAAATCCACACTGGGCTATATGCTGTGTCCAACGCGGGGAATCGAACCCCAGATTTTAGCATTCTAATTCCGTAAACTTACTGCTTTCCCACCGGGGAAATACATTTTTACATATTTTGGAATGGTTTGAGTATATTTGATGTTGTATATGCGTATTAATGTTTTTATTTAGTCAACTTTGGACCTTGTGTTTCATTTCAGTTTTAATTTGTGTACAAGATTTGTTAAAGTTTCGTTGTAGCTGAGTTTTTGTATGTTTTTAAGTTATTTTCGAATGTGTTTTTAATTTGTTTACTTTGAAGTTACATTTTAGTTAACTTCTGTCACTTGTTTGGTTTGGTATTGGATTTTTTCTTAGTGTTATTTTATATTTCTTCTAAGTTCGTGGTTCTATGTTGTTGTGGTGTTTTATTTGGCAGCATAATTTACTGTTAATTCAGTTAAAGAATAATTTAAACAGAGAAAATAAGAATTGTGATATATAAAATCAAACTATACTATTGATTTAGTATAAGTATTTTGTAATTTATTACAAAATGTATGCAACTTTCTTATTTTGCCATTTTTGACGAAGTCTGTTATTCCCCACTACTTAATATAATTTGACTTATGCCTTACGTCTTTAGGTGTCCTTGATCCAGGTTGTTTCTCTCTGTTTATTAATTTTTCATCCTTGGGGTGAACAAGTTGATATTGAAAGGTTGCTAAATCAACAGTTACACAGGAAAATAGAACCGCTGCTAGCCTATGATTGGCTCAGTCGATGCTTGTCAGATCAGTAGAGTTTTGAGAGTAAATTAAGCTCATACATTTAAACAATGACATAGTCTTTGTGTGTACATTCTTTGTGTGTATATATGTGTGTCTATATATATATATAAAGCTATTAGTGAGTTAAATGTTTTAAGTTGATAATCAGAATCTATGTTTTATAGCTACTGTATTTTTATTTTATTTCATTTATGGTCGCAGTCTGTGTTACTGACTTTAATTTGTGAATTGTGAAACCTGATGTCCATTTGGTCAATTACCAATCATCAAACAGCATTCAAATCGTTTAAATAAATCATTAGACCTGGTACTTGGGTGGTTATCACAGCTACTGTAATGAGCAATTCGACAACTTGTATTGGAGGAAATGTTAAATTTTTACATGCTGTATCGCTGTACTACTGCTATGCAGCACTCACTGAGATGGGTTTGAAGAAAGTATCACTTTAACTGGTTGTATCATTAGCCTGGTGTTATGACCATTTCAACAGAGTGCACCAGAAAAGATTCTTACCTTTAAACAGCTGTATTACTGTGTCTACTGCCATGAACAACTCAATAGACTGGACTGGAGGATACTTTTCCAAAATATTTCTTAATATCTGTAGTAATTCTTCTAATTTTTCATAGACTGTATTTTTCGTTGTCTCTTGTTTCCCTGAAACACAAGCTATTGGTGTAAATATTGCTACAAAATTAAAACATTTAAACAACATCTGTCATTTTTCCACAGAAAATTGTGTCACATTTGTTGTTTCAATGCAACAACATTAAGAGATATATTTTCAAGTAAAAAATCTATATACTAAAGTCATGCAGTTATTCATCAACTTTAACTGAAAACCTAGTAGACATCATTCAATATATCAAAATATATTCAGTTCACCTACATCATGCATAGCTATTTGAACTGTTTTGTTCTTTCAAAGCCTTTTACAGGTTGAACTTGTTTTAAAAGTTACATTAACCAATGATCTCATAAAAGCTACAAAACTATTCACAGCTTTTCACGTCTAAACTATTGACCAGTGTCAATCAAAGAATGAATACAAAACCCAATCTATCACTTGATTCATCAGTTGTCTCCGAGTTATACTGATTTTGGGGAAATCCATCCCTAACCAACAACACTGGACAAGGGAAAATTTAATTTTTTCGTCTCTCTAATTTCAGTTTTCTCCGTAAGGCTGGCGGTCCAGCACAGGATTATACCATTTCTTTGGCCATGAGGTAAAACGTCAGAGAATGGTAGCTATGAATAATAAATAAACAGGTGTATATTCTACAGTACCTAAATGTAATCCAAAACAAAAACTGAATGATGTGGAATGATGATCGTCAAGTGCTTAAAACTTTATTTTATTAGTTCTAAAGGTAGGTTAGCAATAAAAAAGGAAATTTATCTTCATGTAAGATAAATATGCAGAGATGGGTCTTCATGGGGAAAATAACATTTTCAGGATCATATTCTGGTAGAGATATCTCATATGTGTTGACAAGATGTTCAGCTGAAGGAAGTGGTTTTATGGAGGGTGAATGGGAAAGTCTAGTAAGTTGATAAGGATGGCATTAGGGGTATGGAAGCAGGAATGGTATATTTGACGCAAAGCTCCCAAATATGGTGATGATTGTTGGGAAATATGATGCAATCATGCAACTCCTGGTTTGATTAGGCTTGATTTTGAATGATCAACAGAGAGCATGTCGTTGCCATAAGTCTTTCATGCATGTATTAACGGACATGGCCAGGTGGTTAAAGCGCTTGACTCGCAGTCTGAGGGTCGCGGGTTCGAATCACCGTCCCACCATACATTTTCGTCCTTTCAGCCGTGGGGGCATTATAATGTGATGGTCAATCCCACTATTTATTGGTGAAAGAGTAGCCGAAAAGTTGGCAGTGGGTGGTGATGACTAGTTGCTTTCCCTCTAGTCTTTCACAACTAAATTAGGGACGGCTAGCCCCGAAAATCCCCATGTAGCTTTGCGCAAAATTCAAACTAACCAAAAACCTTAAAGAAAAATAGGAGAAGTAAATAAAAATACTCAAGTGGTTCCAGCCAGACACCAAAGAAGGTTGAGTTGTTGTGTGACTATATAATTAAGTGTTGCAACGTGAACCTTCCATTTCAGGTGTTTATCAAATATGACACCCAATCATTTAACCCCATTATATAGGTGTAGGGAAACAGAGTCTATTTAATTATTAAATTCATCAGGGTTTTGTTAAGGTTAATATTTAATTTTGCTCTGACCAAACTGAATAGCTTTGGTCTTATGTGTATTGAGTGTAAGATGCCAGTGCCTGCAACATACAAGGAAGTAACTGACTGCTGTTTTTACAACCCTGTTTAAGGTGATCATAGTCGAGTGGATAGCCATTTTGACAATATCATCAACATACTGAAAAATCGGAACAGGACATGGACGTGAACCATACAAGATATAGAGGAGAGATGAAAGAACTTGACCTCGTGGGGGGCAAACGATCTTGAAAAGATGTCTTCTATAGAGATGGCTGCCTGACAACCCATAAGGTGTAAATTAAGGACTCAAATATAAGTAAGTGTTATGTACATAGAAGTGTAGGAGACAAAACCCAGCCTAGGTATTTTGCAATAGATTATGATCTGTAAGAGATCTTTGTAGATTCTTAACACGTAAATGCTCGAAGGTTCTGCTAAATACACATGTGGGACATATTCAACAGTAGAGGCTTACAGTTGAAGAAGGCTAATGGGTTACAAAAAAGGAGAGATGAGAACCTCCATAACTGTAGGTAAAATCCAGTGTGAAAAAAATAATAAAGAGCATTGCCAGGAGCAGAAATAACTTCCTCAGAGCACGGAAGAGATGTGCATAGATAATTCCACCCAGGCCTAGTGCGGTATTGTGTTTATTATATATTAGTCACATTGATTGGAGTATCTATATAATTGTTCTCTACAGTGTGGCTAAAACTGGGGGTAGGCTCAAGGTGGATGATATAAGATAATCTGGAAATGTCTAAAATAATCAAAGTCCAGAGTGTATTGTAGTGAAGTTTGAAAGTGTGACTTGTAAAACGGTCAAAGAGACGATGTTGGAGCAGAATTTACCAATTGATAGGGAAAATGGCAAAGCAAAATTGGCCAATTAGTAATTTAAGTTGGCACCAATGTTGTAAGGCAATGAAGAATTCCAAAGCTCATTACAGACCTTTCATCACTTGAGTTTCTTAACTGTCAAAATGTAATTATGAGCTGTTCATTGAATATTTCTGTGATGCTGCAGAATAACTGTGTCTCTGCGATGGAAATATGCACGAAACAGAGAGTGGAGAGTTAAAGCAATGGCACTGATTGATAAAGGTAATAGAAATATGTATGGAAAAAAATAAGTATTTGGACTATATTGGGAAATGGCTGAATAATTACAATTTACGTTTTTGGGCAAAAAATTAATAACACCATGAAAGAAGAGATCTATAACTATGCCTTACAGGGCAGTCTTTAAAAGGTCCAGTATGAATGTTAGTCTGCCTCACAATAATTCACAGAAGTCTCTTGTATGGCTGGTCTTACGTATATATTTCTAATGGATGTTGGAACTACAACTATAAAATGGTCATTAAAAATTAAAGAATGAAGGTGGAATATCATTAGTAGAAATTAAATTTGACATTGTCATTTCTTTCTAGTCCTAGATGGTGGTAGACCATCAAAGGGTTATGCTCTCCCTCTCTTCAATAAAGAGATAGATGATAACTGGAGCATTGAAGATATATGATGGAGAAAATTCTGAACATTGTGAAACTTTATTGGAAGCAAGGGTGAAGGGTGTGGAATAACAATGAGTGACTTAAATGGTGAAGAATCAATTCATCCTCCTCCTGAATAAATGTCACTGAGTAGAGGAGCATAATTAAAAAGATCATCAGACAAAACTGACATGATATAAAGGTTCAATAAATGATCATCTGAGGTTAAGATTTTGCAAGGACAGGCATTGAGAGAAAATAAGCAAATATGATATTTTGATTAATAAATCATCAGTCCACATATTGGATACATAGGTATCGGAGATTGGTGAGAATTCATGAGTTGTGCTCATATAACTCTTTGGTAGTTTGATATGAAAAGTGAGTCTAAGAGCATGATGATCCAAAAGTAGTATTAGATGATAAAATATGGAGAGACCAGAACAATAGGGAGTTTGATCATAAGTGAAACAGGAATGATTGGAAGTTTTGTAAGTATACAATGGAAAGTTTGGATTCATTCCCTATGAGGTTTCTCTCTCAGCTGACAGAGGAAAGATAGACAGACGACTTTCTGATTGAGAGTTATCATCTGTGCCTTACGGGTAAGATGTCTGTTAATTTTGAAATTATATAGGAATAGACTGTGTCAACAACTATATTTATGGCGCTTAGAACCAAAAAGCATGGCTATGGCCTTGGAGGAATTAATACCAAGAAGATGTTTACAACAAAATGTAACACTTTATTGAGGGTGATTATTTTCAGGCAGGCGGACACAATAGTTGTATCATTAGTATATTAAAATGGATGAACTGGATATCTAGGTTTGAGATGAAACATAACACTAATATTCATACAGTGGTGAATTGTATATTACATATATGGTAATTTCAGTTGTTTTTTTTCTTACTACAGGATTTGAATAATATTTAACATTGATGTTACTAATTCATTCTTCTCAATTATTCAGAGACAAGTTTTTTAAAATACTAAAAATAAACATAAAGCCCAAACTACCATTCGATTCCCCACTTCTCACAGATATTATATAAAAATAGGTTCATTGAATGAGTAAAAGACAACCGAAAAAGATCAAATGTAATAGGTACAGTCTATTATTATAAGATGCCTACTCTTGTTTTTACAAAACTGAGTTATTGAGCCATGTATATTATTGTTAGAATGTGAAATCCTGCCATTGTTAGTGAGTTGCTCTTTGGTGTTTCTAGTTTTACTAAATCATCTTGTTCAGTGACTTTTTTCTTACATTTTTGGATTTTTTACTTTATGCTTATTTGTTCATATGCTTTCTAGACAATACTCTATCGTGGTGAAACAGTGGATCTGAGATGACAGGACTTTTTGGGTCATTGCCATGCTAAGCCCTACTTCCGCCTTGGTTCAAACTCCAAGAAACCTCTGCTGATAGTGCCTCTACTACTTTATGTTTTGGATTTTGACTATCCTTCACTAGCTATTTCAGTCCCCTCTTTTACCATATCTACCTTTACATATATTGAGATTATCCCAATGGCCTCTGTTGATGCACTAACTTCTGTTCTTACTTTCACTACTACTCCAGCTTCAATCAATTTATCTCTAGCTACTAGTTCGACCACTCAACCCCAATCGACAATCCCTATGGAATTGACTCAAAACACTCAGTGTTCTGTTTTTTCTTTCTAAAATGGACTCTTATACTACTCAATTCAACATTTTTAGTTTATGATTACAAAATATTGCCTTCAGCCTGATGTTCAACAACTCATACCCAACCAATCTGGTATAATCATCAAGACTTATAATTCAAGAAACTCTATGACATTTATTTTATATAGAGATAGGTATTACCAATTTGTATTCTGTTGGTTGCCCTTGAACAGGGTTTTTACTCTGTCTGCCAATGTGGCCTTGTCCATAAATTCTGCAATATGGCACTTCAACTTACTTTGTTTGACCCAAACATTCCTTTCTACCTTAATGATGGGCAACTATCTTCATTGATTGCATTCATTGTTGTTCCTTTTTGTTTGATGCAGGAGTTATACAGAGCTCAGTTTTATCACCTTTGCTTTACATACTATATGTTGTCAATATACCCGTTCCTAAACCTATCATCTATCTCTTTCAATACGCCAATGACAGCGCTCATTGCTACTTGCAAGACAATAGTCCCTCTCAATAAAGTCCTATAGATTGTAGTCAAATCCAAAGCAATTCTGTTTCGCTTAAACTGCCATAAGTTTTGACAATGTCATAGCTCACTATTGTTTGATATCTAAATCGAGAATATTCACATATGGTTCTCCAGTGCAGTAAAATATTTTGGAGTGTATTTGAGAAATACTTTACCTTGAAACACAACAGACAGTTCCTGAACAAAAGGTCTCCTCCAGAATCTTCGTGCTCCAATGATTAATGGAAACCTTTTGGCTTTTAAATCTACCCGTTATTCTGTATTCGTACAGAGCCTTAATTCTACATTGTATGACTTCTGGCCATACTGCCTGGACTTCTGTGTCTGATTTCTTTTGCCACAGGCTACATATTATGGTGAATCATGCCCTCCAGATAAATTTGGCACACAACTACCTTGTCCAACTGATACATCTCAGAGATCTTTAACTTTGATATATTAACCTCTGTTTTATACCCATAATGCAATCTTTGCAGACCTCTTCCTGTTTTCAACCAAGGAAGCTCTTCCTGACTGCAGTTTCTAAACTTTATGTCATGTCCTTGCTGCCAGATGGTCCTATGCGAGGATATAAGTGATATGAAGAAGAACTGCAGAATATGATAAGGGGCATGTCAGTGGTGAAGAGTGGGAAGTGGAACAAGTAGTCCAATAACAATGAGTGATCTAAATGTCAGTTTCGTAAACGTAATAAGTAATGCGCAGTTTAATTACATCCAAGAGTCTGGTGAGCCAGCAGAGAGTAATACTTTCTCTTCAAATAGACAATGTCAGAAGATAAACTTTATGATGGAAACAATAGCTATGTAGGATATGAAAGTCTATGTGCCATAAGAATGAAAAATGTATGAATTTTCTATTATTAATATTATTATTAGAGGAGAAGGAGAGATATTGATTGAATCAAGAGTAGGAATATAGAAAGAGACAGTTAATACTCAAAATAGATATGATTTGGAAGATTTTTTTACTTTAATTTTCATCCATTTCTTGGCCAAAGAGAGAACGTCACCCTTTGATAGCTCACCAGTCCCTTGAGTTAGAATGAAATGAAAAAATATTACGAAATACTTATGGCCCGAGAACAACATGCCCTCAAATCTGTATTTCAAAACCAAACTATTACATTCGATAATATTCTTAACATCTACAGAAGTCTTGTATCAAACATTTCACATGGTGCTTCTTGATTCAAAATGTCATCCTTTGCGACTTGCTAAACTCCCCAGTTCATTCTTGATGAAAACTACTTCTCTCGGCGGAACATGTTATCATCATTTATAAGTACACTTTGCGTCCCCTATAAAAGCATGCGTCTATAGATATATCTTACACGAACAATATTTTCTTTTCTCATATCTCACTTACTTTCACCTGTAATTAAATTAAGTTTTGAATATTCGACGAGTATCTTTTCATACCATTTCCATTTCGGGACTCTTTTTAGTACTGTAGAATATATGCCTGTTCATACATTATCTACAGCAACTTTGGTTAAAGAGAAGGCGTAATCCTCTGTTGACCCACTAGAATTATGAGTTGGAGTGAAATGGCAGAAAAAAAAACGATTTTTTCCTTTGCCTAGAGTTACAGATGAGAGGTTAAATTCCCCAAATCCACTATAACTCAGGAAAGAGTGCTGATTCAAATAATAAATTGGGCTTCATATATATTTTAGTATATTAAATAGGTTATTTGCTGAACAATTACAGAATAAATTAGTAGCACGAATCCTTCAAATCCTACATAAGTATAGGTTCACGGTGGTGAGTAAAGACAAGCAAAAATAGCAAACATATGATCTCAACAAAACTTAGCATGCACTCTTAAGGCTCCCCATGAAATGACGTTGGTGTCGATGTTCATATCCGACCTTCTATATGTTACCCTTAATATTCTATTGCTCTCTATCAAACTTCGAAGGCAATATTAGGGCATTCCTTGGAGTGACATGAGAGTTACATTCAGATCTAGCCTCCCCTCCCCTTGTCTGCCCTTGCATTGCACGGGCATGTTAGCTTGTAAAAATATGTGATTATATCTATTTAAAAAAAAATCAAAAACGTAATTGTTAAAATCCGCTTAATTTGACAATTACCGATTTCAAACCACAGATGACTAGAAATTACATTTCAGACTTATATTTTGTCTCGCACTGGTCACTGATAAGTGACCTTTTGTTTATTATCAGAGCTCACTAGATATTTTAATACACCCCTTGTTTGAAATTTTTAATGATAAATTAAAAGGGGCGCGAAAAACAAAAACAAACATCTATTGTTTACGTTAATATTAGGCTTATTGGATTCCAATGCATTGACAGTTTTCGGCAAATTCAAACGGTATAAGTGATTTGATTATGTCATAAATTAATTTAAATGAGATTAATAACAAAATATGAAAACAAAAATATTCGTTAGGAATATGTGATTAGTGGAAGATCTTTCATTAAAAATAAGCAAAGCCCAGATTAAAAAAAAAGAAAGTACATGATACGTCAAATAAGCTGAAAGTTATAAATATTACAGTTGGGTTAAGGATACGCTACGAATTATTATAGCAAAATATTGGTAATACAAGATTGTATTAAAGAAATCATTATATGAAAGACAACATCAGAACAAAATGTTTCTTACAGAGATTTACAATTTATCCTTACATACCTATTTCTATTTCAATATTTTTTTTAAGCTGACCCACTGCTTCTTTAAATCTTCGAACATCATGTGTTAAGGCAACAATGTTTTCTTGTTCCACCAGGTGGCTATCAGATGATCCATTGCTATTAATGCTGTTCATTGATACACACAATGACTTCCCGGCTCCCTCAAGTGAATAAGAACTGGCATTATTAACACTGCGCATGGGACATTCTTCCACAGGTAAAGTGGAAGCGCGTGTCAGTTCTGAAATGGAGCTGTAGCTGCATGATGGGTCCTGCCAAAAATTAAATAGATTAGTTAGCACATCAATACCATACAGGCAACATCAAAATCAATTATGTCTTTTGTGTGAGTGATTGAGACATCGTTCAACAAAAGGTATCGGTAATATCTTCTGTTATAGAATTTATCCCATTGTATTAAATTGCAGAGAATTTTGAATATACAAATTCTAAACATATGATTTAAACTTGTTAATGCTTCTCTTGCCAAACTCTATTTATGTTCATAGTTTAGGATTATCTAGCTACATCTTTTTAACATTTTGGAAGTTATAAACTAACCAACTTTGGAAGTAAAATGTTTTTTCATTTCATATTTTTAGAGTATGATTTTCTTCAAAGTACATATAATTTTTAACAAAATAATTGTTCTTTTACATCGAACAATTTCTAAGCGTTCATCTTAATTTTGAGTTACATACGTTATTTATTAATATTATCTTCGTAATGCACGAAAATCGTAGGATTACGTGTATTTTTCAACATATTATTAACTGTGTGAATATTATCTTTTGCTTTTCTGTTGTTGTTAAAACAAATATCTAGACTTAAAATCTTAAGAAAGAGTAACAAGGAGTAACAAGAAAATGTCAACAAATAACCATAGTAAGGAAAGGAAGTGCTTTACAAATTTACTAAATTTCTTTATAAAACTGTACATATAATCTAAACATAAGTAATGCAGTAGCTTTATTGTACCCGAGTTTTAGATGGCTTTTGATACGGCGTCACATAAGAAACTTCTTATGAATATTGAGAAGTTAAATGGATTGAAAGCTGGTTGAATGGTAGAAGGCACACGTTATTAACAATAGGGTGAAATCACGGTGGATTAATGTTACAAGTAGTAAAACTCGAGATTTTAGCACAGATCTCTGAGGTAAAACACTTGTAACATTAAACCTATGCAAGACATGGCCATTTCTATTTTCCACTAACCACTTTGATAAAGGAATAATCAATTGACTAAGTTTGCAAACGAATTCAAATTGTACTAAACATGCTGCAGTTGTTCAGGGAAATACGGACTATTTGATAAGCTGGCCTAATACCTAGCAGACCCCTTTTTAATCTTAATAAAAGTAAGGCTATGCATGCGGGGGAGAACAATATTAATTATTCTTCTAGCCTTACCGGGGAAATTCTAAATTAAAGTGATGTGAAAAAAACCCAAAAAAAACTGAGCATATGTATAATTCTCTAAACCCTTTTAGACAATGTACCTTATGTAATAATTATGGAAACAGAATTTTATGTTGTATATATATATATTATGTACACAAATACTGAGTACAAGTTAAAGGAGTTAAAGTTATAGTTTCACCTTATAAGGTGGTGTTAAACCTCAACTAGAATATTGTGTTCAGTTTTGGTGACTATTTAAGAAAAGATATTGAGTTGATAAAGAGAAGGGCTATTAGATTGCTTTTAGGTTTGAAGAAGTTATCGTATAGGAGAGGATAGGTTGGGATTTGCTGATATGTTTTCTCTGGCGAGAAGATGCGATCGTAGGAATATGGTTGAGATTTTAAACATTGTAGGATGTTTTAAAGCCAGTAATCTAGATGTCGTTTTTGGGAAAATGCTGCATGTAGTAAGACTAGAAGACACAGTGTTAAGATATATGAAAACTTGGAGGCAGCTCCAGTTAAAGCAGTGTTCTTTTCAAATTTGGCAGTCAGCTATGTAACAACTTATTACAGAAGTGAAGAAGTTAAAGATAATATTGAATGAGTATTGAGATTGGAATTAGATACAGGAAAAAGGGTTTCTGTATGTGGTCTTTAGTAGAGTAGTGTTAGAACATAGGATAGCCTAGACTGGCTAAATAGCCTTTTGTTATCCATTGTAAACGAAATGAAATAAATTTTACCCAAAACCCGTCTATTATACACACATGCACATTCAACTGAATATATACTTCCAGTGATAATATTTCAGTTTTCCTTTGGTTGAATTTCTAATTCGTATCATCCTTTGTCATCATCTGTGAACTTAGTGATTTACAACTGATAAAAATGATAGCTATAGTTTCATTGATACACCCTTCTCCTTGACTTCTAAAACTACTGAAGAATATATGTCCTATTGAGAATGGGACTGTTGTATTGTTCACAGTACGTTAATTTAAGATTATCTACAAACCGAGTTTTACAAGTATCACTATTACATAATTATTTGTATTTTTCTGTCTCCATATTCCAGTAGAACTTCAGGATGACTTCTCGATGACTTTTCTTTGACTCCAGGTTGTGATGTTATGTACTCACTTATCACAACGATAAGATTTCCGTTTAGCAGTTCCTGTTAAACGATTCTGTGTTTCCATATCTAAAATAAGATTATAATTTGGGTGGTGACCATCAACGAGGTACTGATTACTGATTTTCTTTAATGATTTCTTGTGGCTTATGTAGAGTAGACATTCTTTATAAAGAAGTGATTTTGAGAAAAATGAGTTTTCCTGATGATTTTTCATTTTCGAATTGGTTCTCTGTGTAGTATATCGTTAGCAACTTTGATGGATTATAATTAATACAAAGATGAACAGTATTCTCCAATGTGGTTCTACATTTTTAATCAATATGGACGAATTATTTATATATATATACCAGTGAATTCATTATATCTGTTTCCTCCATCATTAAAAAGTTCTGTTCTGGGCTTTCCTATTCTCCAAATACTCTGTTCTGCAACTTGACTTTTCACGCTGTTTTCTGACGAGTCATCCAAAGTGAGTGAAGAGATGGGACAAGATAATGATAGTCACTCTCGTCTTGCTGCGATAAGATGGTTAAGGATTTTTATTGCTAGATCGTTCAGCTGGGTAGCCAGACAGATAGAAAGATGTTCGTTTCTCTACCCATTCATTTTAATAACAATCTCAACTTGGAGATGCTATAATTTTCACGATATTCTTCTACCACAAATTTCGATTTTTTTTGTAAAAGATAAGCTGATCGTGCAATTGTTTCATCATTGTTGTCAAGTTATTTATCTGGTCTCACATAACAGTGTTATTTTGTAATCCATATTTCTCTGTACTGTGACAATTTTAAGAACATATCTCTGTTTGAATATAAAAAACTTGGCATCTGATACATATTAACACCTTGAGACTGACATCAATAACTTAAACGTAACTCTGTAAGATATAAAACTTGACCTTCGTTGTTTATTTAACAGATATATGCATATTTTCTTGATTAGTGTCTATTATCAACACAATATCTTTTACAGCTCTTTTCACAGTAAAATAATTTTGTATAAATTCTCGAAATTTCTCCTTTAAAATGTTTACCTTCTTTTATTAATTGCTTTCTATTTCCTTGTCGCAGTATTAAATTTTCTTGTATTACTTTATCAATATCTCTTTAACTCTCTGGGCAAAGTATAGATTCTGTTATTTCAAAACCTCGTTAATTTTTTGTTGCGACATTCTCGTGGTTTTTA